AATAAAGAGACAAACTGACACTGACATTAATTGTTAACAATAGAATTTCAGAGATCCTTTGGGATATACACTGAACAAGAATATAAACGCAACATGGAACAATTTCTAAGATTTTACTGAGTTACAGTTCATTTAAGGAAATAAATCAATTGAAATAAATAAATTAGGCCCTGATCTATGGATTTCACATGACTGGGAATACAGATATGCATCTGTTGATCACAGATACCTTTTTAAAAAAAGGTAGGGGCGTGGACCAGTATCTGGTGTTGCCACCATTTGCCTCATGCAGCACAACACTCTCCATTGCATTTAGTTGATCAGGCTGTTGAATGTGGAATATTGTCCCACTCCTCTTCAATATTTTAAATCTAATTCGGTTGTTATCCCCATGTATTAATACTCCTGATATATTTCCATATGTAACAGTTTTGCTTCCGTCCCTCTCCTCGCCCCTACCTGGGCTTGAACTAGGGACCCTCTGCACACATCGACAACAGTCACCCTCGAAGCACCGTTACCCGTCGCTCTAAAAAAGCCGCGGCCCTTGCAGAGCAAGGGAAACAACTACTTCAAGATCTCAGAGCGAGTGACGTCACCGATTGAAACGCTACTAGTGCGCACCGCTAACTAGCTAGCCATTTCACACCGGTTACACATATACAGTACCAGTCACAATTTTGGACACACCTACTCATTCAAAGGTTTTTCTTTATTTTTACAATTTTTTACATTGTAGAATAAAAGTGAAGACATCAAAACTATGAAATAACACATATGGAATCATGTAGTAACCAAAAAAGCGTTAAACAAATCAAAATATATTTTATATTTGAGATTCTTCAAATAACCTCCCTTTGCCTTGATGACAGTTTTGCACACTCTTGGCATTCTCTCAACCAGCTTCACCTGGAATGCTTTTCCAACAATCTTGAAGGAGTTCCCACATATGCTGAGCACTTGTTGGCTGCTTCCCACATACAGTGGGGAAAAAAAGTATTTAGTCAGCCACCAATTGTGCAAGTTCTCCCACTTAAAAAGATGAGAGAGGCCTGTAATTTTCATCATAGGTACACGTCAACTATGACAGACAAAATGAGAAAAAAAATCCAAAAATCACATTGTAGGATTTTTAATGAATTTATTTGCAAATTATGGTGGAAAATAAGTATTTGGTCAATAACAAAAGTTTCTCAATACTTTGTTATATACCCTTTGTTGGCAATGACACAGGTCAAACGTTTTCTGTAAATCTTCACAAGGTTTTCACACACTGTTGCTGGTATTTTGGCCCATTCCTCCATGCAGATCTCCTCTAGAGCAGTGATGTTTTGGGGCTGTCGCTGGGCAACACAGACTTTCAACTCCCTCCAAAGACTTTCTATGGGGTTGAGATCTGGAGACTGGCTAGGCCACTCCAGGACCTTGAAATGCTTCTTACGAAGCCACTCCTTCGTTGCCCGGGCGGTGTGTTTGGGATCATTGTCATGCTGAAAGACCTAGCCACGTTTCATCTTCAATGCCCTTGCTGATGGAAGGAGGTTTTCACTCAAAATCTCACGATACATGGCCCCATTCATTCTTTCCTTTACACGGATCAGTCGTCCTGGTCCCTTTGCAGAAAAACAGCCCCAAATCATGTTGTTTCCACCCCCATGCTTCACAGTAGGTATGGTGTTCTTTGAATGCAACTCAGCATTCTTTGTCCTCCAAACACGACGAGTTGAGTTTTTACCAAAAAGTTATATTTTGGTTTCGTCTGACCATATGACATTCTCCCAATCCTCTTCTGGATCATCCAAATGCACTCTAGCAAACTTCAGACGGGCCTGGACATGTACTGGCTTAAGCAGGGGGACACGTCTTGCACTGCAGGATTTGAGTCCCTGGCGGCGTAGTGTGTTACTGATGGTAGGCTTTGTTACTTTGGTCCCAGCTCTCTGCAGGTCATTCATTAGGTCCCCCCGTCATCAAGGCAAAGGGAGGTTATTTGAAGAATCTCAAATATAAAATATATTTTGATTTGTTTAACACTTTTTTGGTTACTACATGATTCCATATGTGTTATTTCATAGTTTTGATGTCTTCACTATTATTCTACAATGTAAAAAATAGTAAAAATAAAGAAAAACCCTTGAATGAGTAGGTGTGTCCAAACTTTTGACTGGTAGTGTATATTCAGATCATCTCAATGTTAGAGGGATATACCTTCAGAAATTACAGAAAAATAGACAATTCTTAATTAAAAAAGACACTTTATTTAATATAATACAACAGATTCTATTCCGTCAAATATGGCATCATTATAGCCCATATTCCTGCTCTTTTCTTTAGTATATCTTCATTTCAGGAGTGTTGTTCCTTCATATTGAAGTAATATGCACAAAATGCTAGATCAATAATTGCCACCGAAATATAACAGTCTTCACTGTTTAACTTTACAGATGGCACCCCGTAGTCATTGAGCACTCTGGGTTTGTATGAGATGGTGTTCTGAATTCAAACAGTCAAGGTAGGGCTCTCCTCAGGGCTGATATTTGAAACCGATTAAGCTAGAGGGGCCATTGGAACTCGAAGCCATTGATCTTTCATGCAGCGGTCTTATCAGACTGCTATCTGGATGTGGAAGCCTTATAGTGACCTGTACTGGTCATAGGGAGGAATTCACCTAGAGCGGACATGCTAGATATCAGACTATTTTCTTATTGTCTCTGTGTATAGTAATTTGCTTTGATTAAAATATGAAAGGTTGGGCATTGAAATACACAAAATCACAACTACATGTATTTGATTTGATGTGTTAAACATAACAGTTGGTAATAATATTACTGTGGCAATACGAACTGAAGTATTTGAAGTCTCAAAAGCTTCCGTTTTTGGACAGAGGACGCAGAACTTTTTATCCACTGACACAATAACCCAAGTAGTTAGCTGTCTCTAAACTGTCATCCTTTATCTAAGAACCAGAGATGTAAGCCCCAGCCAGCAGTATGGTGTGAGCAGTATGGTGTGAGCAGTATGGTGTGAGCAGTATGGTGTGAGCAGTATGGTGTGAGCAGTACGGTGTGAGCAGTACGGTGTGAGCAGTACGGTGTGAGCAGTACGGTGTGAGCAGTACGGTGTGAGCAGTACGGTGTGAGCAGTACGGTGTGAGCAGTACGGCGTGAGCAGTACGGCGTGAGCAGTACGGCGTGAGCAGTACGGCGTGAGCAGTACGGCGTGAGCAGTACGGCGTGAGCAGTACGGCGTGAGCAGTACGGTGTGAGCAGTATGGTGTGAGCAGTATGGTGTGCAGTAGTGTGCAGTAACAAAAGTCAGCAGAGATGAATGAATACAGCAGAAGCTGTGGCACATCATCATTGGACTTAATTGACAGACGACTGTGTAACATCTTATTTCATATTTCAATACAACCCTTTCATGTCTCCTAGGACGTACCTAGAGGACGTCAAGAAAATAAACATTTGAAATATCAGTCGGTATCCGTCCCCAAGCATTGGCATGGCCATTTCTCTGGCCACATCTTTATAGTCTTCACTCGATTCCTTGTGTCTTCTCCTCCCCTCCTCTCCCCATCTCTTATAATTCTCTCCTTTCCCTCTGATGTTTAGCGAAAGGATGGGAGCTGAGGACTCCTTTCCCACGGGGGGCCAGTATGAAAAACTGTATGCACTCACTAACTGTAAGTCGCTCTGGATAAGACCGTCTGCTAAATGACTAAAATGTAAATGTAATTGCATACTCCTCGTGTCCTCTCTATTCATCTCCTTCTCAAAACTCATTGGATGAGAAAGCCAGAGGTCCCTTCCCTCTGACCATCTCCTCCAATGAGTTTTGAGAAGGAGATGAGGAGAGAAGACACGAGGAGTATGCAATTGAGATCATACCAAGGAATCAATCTGAATCTGAATCTGAGGAAAGACTTAGTCCGAGTGATGCCTCGCCTGCAGAGTGCCTCCAGGGGGCTCCCTCACCCCTTTATATTACTGAATATTCAGATCAAACAAGAGCCCATTTCGGTCAAACAGAAAAGAGAACATGGGAGTTCTCTCATTCTCGTCCTTTTGAAACACTGCGGCAGGAGCACAAAAAAGCTATTTTCTATGACAGATGAATCAAAATTCTACATATATACGGATCAAATGTATTAATCTTGCTGTCATCCCCCCTCTCCTCATTGTCATACAGCAACATAGTGTACTGTAGGCTACTTTTAGTGGAGGAATGATTGAATGTTTTGACAATGGCCTGAAAATACAAATAGTTGTCTTTATAAAGGAGGATTAGAAGAATCCAGCAGTGTGAGAGAGTTGAAATAAAAGAGCCGTTCAAATCCACGGTCCTATTCTCTTCAGGGTGGAGTGCTTTTATCTGCATGTTTGTGCAAAAAGTTCCATGGCCTATCCTGTACACACGCACACACACAGACACATTTTACAGACATGCGTACACACACAGATGCATTTTACGTACACGCACGCACACACGCATGCACACACTTCTCCAGTGACCCCCCCCCCCAATCGTGAATGGGCATTTAATTTTCCTGTCAACAAATCCCCTGGCCTTTAGATAGACAGTACAATAGATACTGTATAGAAATTCTCTAACAATAAAACTAGCAAAGTCATCAGTCATTATAAACCCTGATGTCCATTGAGTTTTAATCATACACTCAGCCATTGCATCATCCAGCTGGGTGCTACACATGTCTTCAACCTCGCTTCACGTCGCAAAAAAAAAAATCTGATGACACTTTATAATTTCAGCCCATTAGAATCCTGGGGTATTTTTCTAAGAATGCCAGTGAACCGTCCTGTAACAGTCTGAAAAAGCAGCCTCCATCCAGTCCTTGCTCCATACAGAGAGTCATCCATCCATCTTCAAAAGGACCCTAACATTACAATAGCATCAACAGACGTTAGGCCTAGATGAGGTCCTCCTGCTTCTCTTTGTGTTAGCTGTGGAGGTCCATGACCTTCCAGTTTTCCTCCTAGCGGTCACGGTTCATAGGTCATCTTCATTGAGCTGGGCCAGGTTGCTGGAGCGCCGGCCTGCCGAGGGACCAGGGATGGATACAGGAGGAGGTCCAGCCTCAGCAGGCAGCCCTCTGCCACGGCAGCCCTCTCCTGCTCTCTGCTGGGGGAGAGGAGGAGAGGAGGATTAAAATATGTTTATAACTTGAAATGTTGATAGATTGAATAAAATGTAACCTAAATAACTAGTACTAATTCACTGTTTTTTTTTTCTTTTCTCGAATAGAGACACATGCCTCACTATAGCCATTGTGAATAACTCTGGGTAGAAATCTAGATGTCAGAAAATATTTTCAGGGGGAATTTAGGGGAAATGTTAAAGAATGAAGATGCTTAGCAAGTGAGCTACTATATCAGCAACAGCCATTTGTGGTTTGTTTTTTCCGTTAACAATATCAGTCACAACAACACAATGTGTTGAGAGAGAGAGAGAACAATTAGGCCATTGATAGGCATCTTTGACTTTCGGACTTCCTTCTCTGGGTCAGCCTCTTTCCTGTTTGTTATGTACCCATAGGCCCCATGCAGCCTGAGCAAATACATAGAACAGCAAACCAGCTAGTCAGAACAAATGTTAGTCTGTCGGCACCACTCACTAAGTACAAGCAGAGATGGTCTATATTAGTGAAGACAGAGGGTTGTGTAGTTTATGGTTGGTCTGAGACACTCAACAGAGGTCAACAACAGGATACCTAGCTAGCTAGCTTTATTGTTCCCCAGTCTGAAAGGAGAGATGGATGATGATCATGATGATGAGTTGTGGCTAAATAGAGCAATTCGTGTACAGCAACACACCTGTTGGTTACCACTTTTCAAATCTTATTTTATATGTAAAATCCCTCCAATTTGTGGTTCTTCATATTGTTTCAGACAAAACTCCTCTACAGTATTCCCAATGCTCTTTCATTCTGAAGAATAATTCCGTTTTCTGTTTCTGGCCAACAGGGGGAGTAGTAGCCTACCTCTCATTTTGATGCAGATTCCTTCTCTTTGAATTGCTCCTCTATTCCTGTACAAATGGTTAGCATTTACTGAAGCCTTTCATATTTTAATGAACGTAAATGAGCATATAAGAATTATATAATTATACCTCCTACAATGAACCATTATTTATTATTTATATAAATGTTCTTGCCATGGGTGATATAATACGTACAATAAAACTAGAAAGCAGATAGAAATGTACTGATGTGTAAAATATATAATTACATTTCAGCATGCATGCTTTCCCATAATGAAGCAGGGGAATAGGTTCTAGGAAAAGTAACTGGCCTCTGGTTTTGTATCCTTGCATTTGTGTATTTCTCTGGGTGTATGGTGCGTGCTGTGTGTGTGTGTGCATGCCTCTGTACTAGGGTTGAATATTTTCCTGGTATTTTACAAATGTTCCATCCCGAGAATAAATCAGGTAACCTGGTATTTCCCGCCAAAACCGGAAGTGTCATTCAAAAGCATTATAAAGCATATAAATAGGCCTGTGTCTGGATTTGATTAGAGTTTTGATCGAAAATTCAAGCCTGATGCTACCTGAGCCTGATGGGCCATACATTAAAGACATTTTATGAGCCCTACGTTAAAGACATTTAATGAGCCCTACGTTAAAGACATTTAATGAGCCCTACGTTAAAGACATTTAATGAGCCCTACGTTAAAGACATTTAATGAGCCCTACATTAAAGACATTTTATGAGCCCTACGTTAAAGACATTTAATGAGCCCTACATTAAAGACATTTAATGAGCCCTACATTAAAGACATTTTATGAGCCCTACGTTAAAGACATTTAATGAGCCCTACGTTAAAGACATTTAATGAGGCCAAGCCCAAAAAAGCCCAAATGATTGTGCCGTTATCCAATATATATATGATATAGGCTACTGCACATTATGCATGACAGAAAAACAGAAAAGCCCATATATATACACTGCTCAAAAAAATAAAGGGAACACTTAAACAACACAATGTAACTCCAAGTCAATCACACTTCTGTGAAATCAAACTGTCCACTTAGGAAGCATGCTGTTGTGCAAATGGAATAGACAACAGGTGGAAATTATAGGCAATTAGCAAGACACCCCCAATAAAGGACTGGTTTTGCAGGTGGTGACCACAGACCACTTCTCAGTTCCTATGCTTCCTGGCTGATGTTTTGGTCACTTTTGAATGCTGGCAGTGCTTTCACTCTAGTGGTAGCATGAGACGGAGTCTACAACCCACACAAGTGTCTCAGGTAGTGCAGCTCTTCCAGCATGGCACATCAATACGAGCTGTGGCAAGAAGGTTTGCTGTGTCTGTCAGCGTAGTGTCCAGAGCATGGAGGCGCTACCAGGAGACAGGCCAGTACATCAGGAGACGTGGAGGAGGCCGTAGGAGGGCAACAACCCAGCAGCAGGACTGCTACCTCCGCCTTTGTGCAAGGAGGAGCAGGAGGAGCCCTGCAAAATGACCTCCAGCAGGCCACAAATGTGCATGTGTCTGCTCAAACGGTCAGAAACAGACTACATGAGGGTGGTATAAGGGCCCGACGTCCACAGGTGGGGGTTGTGCTTACAGCCCAACACCGTGCAGGACGTTTGGCATTTGCCAGAGAACACCAAGATTGGCAAATTCGCCACTGGCGCCCTGTGCTCTTCACAGATGAAAGCAGGTTCATTATTTCATTCATTCATGTTATTTTAGTGTTCCCTTTATTTTTTTGAGCAGTGTATATATATATATATAGGTCTAGCGATGCTCTCTTGGATAAATAAATGAAACTAGCTCCAGTAGGCTAATCTTTTTGAGTGTGAACTGTATTACTGTACTGTATTGTATTATATGGACTGGAATTACTCACATCGTTCAAACCATGATAAAGCAGGGAGAGAACATGCGATTCTGGTGCAGCACATGCGGCCTACAAAGTTACAAGTATAGGCTAGCGAATTTGATTTACATTTTGAAATATAATAGGGCCTATATGTATAATAAGTAGGTTGATGCATATATACCTTTCATAATATTTCCCCTAATGTTATTAGCCTACCTCCTCTTTCTCTCTATATTGTTGCTTCATTCCTTCCTCGCTTTCAACAGTTAAATTAAATATGTTTTGTTGTCCTTATCTTTGTCATTCTAATGACAACCTTGAATAATATCAGACTAGAATTAGATGCAGAAGGCTTTCACTTCTCTTCACGAAGATTGAATGGTTATGGGTCTGAATAAGTAACTGCTATAGCCTACCACCATCGTGTGTTCGCTCTTCTTTCAAACTACCCATGAGTTCTAACTTCTGTTGGCTGCTTTATTGAACACTCAGCAAACAAGAGCGTGCGTCCCTCTTCTAATAATCTATTGGTATAAGAAATGAACCCCCAAAAATTACAGTCTAGCTTTTCCTGCATGGGACTCCGAGAGCTAAGGAGTGTTTTTTAAGGAGAGAGGCCAGCGGAGCACAGGTGTGTGCGCATTGCGCAAGAGACAGAGGCTATAAGTTAGAAGCTATTATGCATAACCCATAATTAATTAGCTAAATATAAGGCTACTACTACATTTAATGTATTACCTGAAAGAGGTAGGCTAGGTCATCTATATATAGGGCTATATATCAATCTAGAACAGGATTATCTATTTTGGATGCAATTTGAATGGAGTTGGTGGAGAGAGAAAGACTGCGAGAGAGTGCTCGCTCGTGCACTGATTTAAAGCAACGATATTAATAGGCAGATGGAGATGGGTAAATTAGACCTGCATTCGGTCTTTATATTACTATAGCGATAGACTATGCTGCAACAAATACAGGCCTACCTGTCACAAGTACAACAGTTACCATGATGAGATGATAGGTCTATATGCATTGTGAACTGCGCTCCATACTGAGATAGGCTGTCTGTCCCCACCCTGAGCATTGATTCATCATGCAGAGGCCATAGAGAAGACAGATTTAAACATTGCATATAATTTAGCAGTTCCATTTCACCCAATGCTGTTCATATAAATAATTTTTTCTAATTTACTGGTTTCTTATCCTGGGAAAAGGGAGTGATTTTAGGCGGTAAATCCCGGTAAATCTCGGTAACCGGGTTTCCGCCATTCAACCCTAGTCTGTGCGTGTACACGTGTGTGTGTGCACGTGCATCTGTGCGCTTGCATGTGTGTGTGTGTGTGTGTGTATGTGCGTATACCTGTGTGCTGTACAGCCCATTGGAAACAGCTTGGCACTGCAGGGGGTGGGTCCTGGAGTAGTGAGACAGGCCAGACTGGTCGGTGAAGGCTAGCTGGATGTGAGACTGACAGACTGTTGCCTGGGAGTTCCTACTGACCAGAGGAGACTGCGAACACACACACACAACACAACACATCTAAACATCGCATACTGAGAGCTGAGAGCAAACAAATTATTGTTAATCTTTATCGTTGCATGAGATCTCAAATTATTTCAGATTTTCAGATTAGGATATTAATTAAAGGATGACATGTAGTCTGTAGTGTGGATGTTGTGGTCTATGTGATATAGTATGTAGTGTGGATGTTGTGGTCTATGTGATATAGTCTGTAGTGTGGATGTTGTGGTCTATGTAATGTAGTTTGTAGTGTGAATGTTGTGGTCTATGTAATGTAGTCTGTAGTGTGGATGTTGTGGTCTATGTGATATAGTCTGTAGTGTGAATGTTGTGGTCTATGTAATGTAGTCTGTAGTGTGGATGTTGTGGTCTATGTGATATAGTCTGTAGTGTGGATGTTGTGGTCTATGTAATGTAGTCTGTAGTGTGGATGTTGTGGTCTATGTAATGTAGTCTGTAGTGTGGATGTTGTGGTCTATGTGATATAGTCTGTAGTGTGGATGTGTACACTCGGTCAGGCTTGGCCAGAGCCCATTCCAGTCCAGCGAGCTAAACGGGGACAGCAGCGTCTCCTTGTTTTTGGTCAAACAGAAGCAATGTGTCTGACAACTGTAGGTCACTGAGGTGTGTGTGTGTCTCTGTGTGTGTGTGTGTGTGTGTGTGTGCTTGCTTGCGTCTGCCGTCTGTGTGTGTGACTGGACCCCTTACCGCCGGCAGTGTGTGTGTGTACAGTTTGCATGTGTGACCTTACCTCCTGGGGTGAGTGTGTCTCACCAGGTCCCTGGGGGCAGGTTACCTGACCGCCCTGGCTGGGCAGGTAGAGGGTGGGGAGGGAGGTGTTGTAAGACAGGAGGCAGGGCAGGCGCTGGCGGTCAATGGAGGCCGAAGAGTGGGGGCGCAGGGGGCCGGTGGCCGCAGACAGGGGGGCTCTCATGCTCCGGCCCATGCTGTTGGACTTGCTGTTACTCTCCCTCCGCTGGTACTCAATGGGAGACTGGAGGGCTGGATGAATGGATGGCACAAGACGGAGAGAGGATTTAGACCAGGCACATTTTTATTTTGAAAGTGTTTTTTTATGAGTATTGGTCATTGTAGTTTCATGTTGTGTGTAAGTGAACTTGGTACTGAACTGCTTTTGGCTAACATTACTGCTCAGTGCTCACATTGCATAAGAAGCAAGAGAGACCAAAGCTAAAAGGCCTAAACATCAGACATGTGACTGGTAAAGGATTGTTTTGCCATCAGTATGTCTCCAATCGTACCATTGGAGGAAGTTAAGCTCAAGCAGAAGGGCCAGACATGAATAACGGTAAGTGGTTGTTTACTGTTTAGGTTTTGTCTATCTGGGTCTCCAGCCCTACCATTGAGCACGTTGGCAGCATGGGGGTCTAGATATGAATCCTGAAAGTAAAGCCGTTGTGTTTTTCCATCCTACCGTTGAGAAAGTTCCTTTGGGTCTCCAAGATCTGTCCCACATCATCGACCCAGGCCCTGCAGACCTCTGGGGAGGTGGCCTGCAGCACGTAGCGCACCATGCTTCCATCAGTTCCTCGTGATGTCAGCACCAGGCGGTCCGCCTCCCCCTCCACTGGATCCTCCACCCCCAGACAGCTCACCTGGAACACACCGCACGTGTATGCAGTAGGGTTGCACAATTCTGGTTACTTAACCAAAATTCCCAGGTTTTCCAGAAATCCTGGTTGGAAGATTTTCCGGAAAAAGGAAGGAATCCGTGAATCCTCCAACCAGAATTTCTGGAAAACCTGGGAATTTTGGGAAAGCAGCCTTAGTATTGAGTGAACATTCTGAACATTGCTGATAGGATTAATAGAGTTGACACGATTACCTATTCCAATCATATCTGATCTACGTGATACATTTCTATCTGAACATTCCTGTAACGTTCCATCCACCTGGACAGACCACATCTGACCACCATCTGGTGGAGGAGAGCAAGTCATTAAATACCTCACCAACACCAACTGAACAAAGAACAGACACGGATGCTTCAGAGACTTCCAAGAGCACTCACAACCCTGTCCATGTGTCTCGGACTGCTGGTGGTTATGTAACTTGCACACAACGTTAGATTTGGACAAACATTTTGTTTGTTTACACTGACTGGTTATGCCAGCGTTGCCCAAACTCGGTCCTGGGGACCCCAAGGGGTGCATGTTTTGGTTCTAGCCCTACACAGCTGATTCAAAAAATGAACTCTTCATCAAGCTTTGATTATTGGAATCAGCTGTGTAGTGCTAGGGGGAAAAAACTAAACGTAAACCCCTTTGGTTCCTCAGGACTGAGTTTGGGAAACGCTGGGTTATGCAATTCACTACCTGGGGCAAGAGAAGCCATGTAGCTAACAACAGTCAAATTGTATTGTTTTGTTTCTAACTTTTATTGAAGTTTCTACATTCAATCTAATCTGACATTGAAGAAGAGAATATAATAAGAATTAGAAGAGGAGAAGAGAAGAGAACAGCATAAGAACAGCCCTTAGCCGTGGTATATTGGCCATATACCACAACTCCTCAGGCCTTATTGCTTAAATATGTAATGCAGTTAATAACAGCTTCAGATTCTAAATAGGCCCACAAACCAGAGGAAAACAGTTTTGTAAAAGCTGAATGATTCATCCCATGAGGGGGTTCTTTTTCGTGAAGAAGAAAGACGGGGGTCTGCGCCCTTGCATTGAAATATCTCTCTCTCTCTCGCTTCTCCTTAATTTTTGAATAAACTAATTTCAATTTCTTTCTCTCTCTTTCAGTCAACTACTCACCACATTTTATACACTGCTGTGCTAGCTAGCTGTAGCTTATGTTTTCACTACTAGATTAATTCTCTGATCCTTTGATTGGGTGGACTACATGTCAGTTCATGCTGCAAGAGCTCTGATAGGTTGGAGGACGTCCTCCGGAAGTTGTCATAATTACTGTGTAAGTCTATGGAAGGGAGTGAGAACCATGAGCCTCCTAGGTTTTGCATTGAAGTCATTGTACCAAGAGGAGGACGGAAGCTAACTGTCCTTCGGCTACACCATGGTGCTACCCTACATAGTGCTGTTGAGGCTACTGTAGACCTTCATTGCAAAATAGTGTGTTTTAATCAATTATTTGGTGACGTGAATATATTTAGTAAAGTTTTATCTAAAAAGGATAACTTTTTTAATGTTTCACTATTTTTATTTTTATGAAATTCACTGAGGAGGATGGTCCTTCCCTTCCTCCTCTAAGGAGCCTCCACTGACATACATTTATACTGACTCTACACACACGCACACCGACTCACATACAAGCTGCTGCTACTCTTTTTATCTTATATCCTTTTGCCTAGTCACCTTACCCCTATACAGTATGAAAATGTATGCACTCACTAACTGTTTGGGAAACACTGGGTTATGCAATTCACTACCTGGGGAAAGAGAAGCCATGTAGCTAACAACAGTCAAATTGTATTGTTTTGTTTCTAACTTTTATTGAAGTTTCTACATTCAATCTAATCTGAAATTGAAGAAGAGAAGAGAATAAGAATTAGAAGAAGAGAAGAGAAGAGACCCACCTTGATGCTGCTCTTGAAGGTGTAACCAGGAAGTGAGAACCCTTTCTTCCTGTCGATTGGCTCGCTGAAGATGACCAGCTGTTCAAACAGGAAGACCCGCCTCTCCTTGGCTCGGGACAGGAAGCTGCTGTCCTGTTCCATCACTGTGAAGGTGTCCTGCTGTAGCAGCTTCCCCTGTGCCGTGATCTTACCCTGGGGACAAAAAGAAGGATGGAGGGAGAGACACAGGATGAATAGAGGATAGGGGTTTATTATATGGCTTAATTATGGCATGCAGCAGTGTTTTTGCAAACCTCTGCTCGAGCCCCCGGCCAGTTACTTTATGTTTTCCAGAACTAGCAGACCTGATTCAAATGATCACCTAATCACTAAACCCCTCATTAGTTGAATCAACAGTTCTAGTTCTGGAGTACATCAAATAAATCGACTGGCTGGGCCTGGGGTTACTTGAGGAGAGGTTTGGGAAAGACTGGCTTACAGTGCATTACATAACTTATGAGAACTAGGAATGTGGAGTATTTGAAAGAGGGACCTAGGGCTCGATTCAATTATTGCCACGGAAGTTCAGCGCTATAGAAATGTGAAGATAATTTCCAATTGAGCTGACATATGCAGCGTTTAACGTGACTGCAGTCTTTGCGAACTAGGAAACATTGCCTTTATATTTCAATGGTACTGAAGTTCCACGATATGGATTAAATTGAGGCCTAAGTTCCAGTGCCTTACCTCAAAGCCCTGCAGGCGTCCCACGTTCATCATGTCATTACAGCGTTTGGGCACAAAGCACATCACCTCTACCGCTTTCTGTGTGTGTGTGTGTTGTATGAGAGAGAGAGAGAGAGAGAGAGAGAGAGAGAGGATAGAGAGAGAGAGAGAGAGAGAGCGAGAGAGAGAAGAGATAGAGAGAGATAGAGAGAGAGAGAGAGAGAGAGAGAGAGAGAGAGAGAGAGAGAGAGAGAGAGAGAGAGAGAGATCCTTAAAACTAGCAAATCTTGAATACAGGTTGTTTGACTAGAGAGAACCCTTCAACTCAACAAAATAACACAGAGCCTCACATGCTCTAGTATTCGCCTGTTCCTAGAGAACTTACATAGTAGATGCATTGTAGAAACAGTGTAATAATATCATAAGCTGTATCAGAACAACACCCACCTCCAGCTCTTCTGTGTCCATCCCAGCTTTGGTGTAATACTTGAGGAAGTCCTGTTCACATAAACACAGCATAGAGTCAGAACCATTCCAGTCAATGTTATGTAAGGTGAGGACATCTGGATGATGCTTTTTTAGTTTCCCAGATCAATTTGAATACCAGAGAGAGTACAAGCTTGGCACTAGGTGATAGTTTTATGACCATGTTCATTGCCCCAGTATCTGTGCTTTAACGATGAGTATGACGTGTCTCCTCTCTAACGTCCAGGAAGTTCCAATTCAAACTCCCATTACACAGCTCTGCAAGCGTTATGATGTCAAAATACGTTTGTTACGCACCAAATATGGGGTTTCGCTGAGCAACTATGTTAATTTACTCCCGTTACGGCCAGTATTTATTTCCAAAAGAGGTCTAAATAAAATGCCTCTTCGCCATTTTGTGTCTGTGTGTCTGTGTGTGTCTGCACTTGTGTGTGTGTCAGTGTGTCGTATATCCATGTATATGTGTGTGCGCTTACATTCATCCGTCCGTATGTGTGTGTGTGTGTGTGTGTGTGTGTGTGTGTGTGTGTGTATGTCAACGTGTGCATGCGTTTGTGTCTGTCTAAATGCGTGCGCGCATGTGTACGTTCTTGTGTGTACGTGCTTGTGTGTGTGTGTGTATACTATACGTGTGTATACGTGTGTGTGTGTCACCTTGAGCAGCAGTTGGTACTTCATGATCCTCTGGACTGGTTTGATCAGCAGGTCGTTGAGTTGTAATCTGTGACCCAGATGTTGCCTTAGCTCCTGATAGGGGGGGGGGGGGGGGGTGCAACTCAATATTAGTAAGTTGTTCTTAATGTTGTGTTCATTCAGTGTATATCAATATGATATAACTCAAAATGTCATTAATATGACCAACCATAACATTGCTTTCCTACAACATCCAATATGGCATAATTACATACTTTATTATATGGCATAGCATTATGACATGGTTTGGGATACATACAGACTCATTACCTCAACCATATATTATCAATATGACTTGTCTTCATGTGACATACAGACTCATTACCTCAACCATATATTATCAATATGACTTGTCTTCATGTAACATACAGACTCATTGTCACAACCACCCATCAATATGACATGTTATTACCTTCACATAACCACATCAACAAAGCACAGCATTATTCCCACAGCCTATCAATGTGACATGTTACATTACTACAACCACCAATCAACGTGACCAAACATGTCATTACCACAATAGGAAATAACATTCCAGCAAAGGGAGTCTAATGAAACTGAATTGTATTTTCAAACGAGAGATTCAGTAAGATAACAGTGATGTATGGTGGACTTAGCTGTATGTTTGCTAAGAGATACTAACCTGGAAGTAGGTCTCGATGTACTCGGAGACGATGTGTTCCGACTTGGGTTTATTCTGGCAATACACCACGTACATGTGGAGACGCCTCTCCTGTAAGACAAACACACACACAGACAGTCAACTTTATAGCAATTTATCATATCAGAAAATAAACAGTACTGTACACAGTACTATCCATAACTGCTTTGAACATATTGAACTAGATTCAAAATACTTTCAAAACAGAAACCCCTAGAAGTAGACGTTTATTGTGTTACAAAACTGTGATTATAAACTGGGTGGTTCGAGCCCTGAATTCCGATTGGCTGAAAGCCATGGTATACCACGGGTATGAAAAAAACATTTATTTAAACTGCTCTAATTACGTTGGTAACCAGTTTATAATAGCAATAAGGCTCCTCCGGGGTTTGTGATATATGGTCAATATACCACGGCTGTCACATCTCCTCCCATTGCTCCCCTCCGGCGCTCTGATTCGCCGGTCTACTGAGCCACCGGTCTGAGCTCACCACCTCGGCAACACCGGAATGGAAACCCAACGCACCCTAATCACCTCCAGCGCACCTGCACCTCATCACCACCTCTATATAGCCCTGGACTGTTGAGTGTTGTGTTGTTTGTGATTGTTAGTGTCTTGTCATGTACTCGATCTTTGTTGTTCTCTTGCTCAGTGTTAAGTAAACCTTTACATTGTTGATTCCTGCGTCTGCGTCCTGCCTCTTCGTATCCTCAGTACTCGTCACAACGGCTAAGGGGTGTGTCCAGGCACTCTGTGTTGCGTCGTGCATAAGAACAGCCCTTAGCCATGGTATATTGGCCATATACCACACCTCCTCAGGCCTTATTGCTTAAATATGTAATGCAGTTAATAACAGCTTTAGATTCCAGATAGGCCCACAAACTAGAGGAAAACACTTTTGTAAAAGCTGAATGATTCATCCCATGAGGGGGTTCTTTTTCGTGAAGAAGAAAGATGGGGGTCTGTGCCCTTGCATTGAAATATCTCTCTCTCTCTCGCTTCTCCTTGATTTTTGAATAAACTAATTTCAATTTCTTTCTCTCTCTTTCAGTCAACTACTCACCACATTTTACACACTGCTGTGCTAGCTAGCTGTAGCATATGTTTTCACTACTAGATTCATTCTCTGATCCTTTGATTGGGTGGACTACATGTCAGTTCATGCTGCAAGAGCTCTGATAGGTTGGAGGACGTCCTCCGGAAGTTGTCATAATTACTGTGTAAGTCTATGGAAGGGGGTGAGAACCATGAGCCTCCTAGGTTTTGCATTGAAGTCAATGTACCCAGAGGAGGACGGAAGCTAACTGTCCTTCGGCTACACCATGGTGCTACCCTACAGAGTGCTGTTGAGGCTACTGTAGACCTTCATTGCAAAATAGTGTGTTTTAATCAATTATTTGGTGACATTAATATATTTAGTAAAGTGCTTTTTTTATGTTTCACTATTTTTAGTTTTATGAAATTCACTGAGGAGGATGGTCCTCCCCTTCCTCCTCTAAGGAGCCTCCACTGACATACATTTATACTGACTCTACACACACGCACACCGACTCACATACAAGCTGCTGCTACTCTTTTTATCTTATATCCTTTTGCCTAGTCACCTTACCCCTATACAGTATGAAAATGTATGCACTCACTAACTGTTTGGGAAACACTGGGTTATGCAATTCACTACCTGGGGAAAGAGAAGCCATGTAGCTAACAACAGTCAAATTGTATTGTTTTGTTTCTAACTTTTATTGAAGTTTCTACATTCAATCTAATCTGAAATTGAAGAAGAGAAGAGAATAAGAATTAGAAGAAGAGAAGAGAAGAGACCCACCTTACCCCTATATAGTATGAAAAATGTATGCACTCACTAACTGTAAGTCACTCTGGATAAGAGCGTCTGCTAAATGACTAAAATGTAAATGTAAATGTAATTACCGAACACTTAACAAGGGGACAATTCGCTATAGTTATCCTCTACCCCTCATTCCATCTGTAATCGAGTCAATGCATGGGGCGCGCTTCTTCATGAAATTAGATCTCAGGAGTGCGTACAACCTGGTGCGGGTCCGGGAAGGGGACGAATGGAAGAGAGCATTTAGCACAACCAAGGGGCATTATGAATACCTGGTGATGCCGTACGGGTAGATGAATGCTCCATTAGTTTTCCAGTCCTTTGTGAATGAGGTGTTTCGTGACATGTTTGGTCGTGGTGTGGTGGTCTACATCGATGACATCCTGGTGTATTCAGCTACGCGTGCAGAGCATGTGTCCCTGGTTCTTAGAGTGCTTGGGCGACTGTTGGAGCATGACCTGTACGCCAAGGCAGAGAAATGTCTGTTCTTCCAGCAATCTGTCTCCTTCCTTGGATACCACATCATCACCTCAGGTGTGGAGATGGAGGGAGACCGCATCTCTGCCGTGCGGAATTGGCAGACTCCCACCACGGTGAAGGAGGTGCAGCGCTTTATTGGCTTTGCCAATTACTATCAGAGGTTTATCTGGGGCTTTGGCAAGGTCGCAGCTCCCATCACCTCTCTGTTGAAGGGTGGGCCGTCTCGGCTCCGCTGGTCTGCTGAGGCTGACAACGCTTTCAGTAACCTGAAGGCAAAGTGCACCTCAGCCCCGGTACTGGCCCATTCCGATCCATCATTACTGTTCGTAATGGAGGTGGATGCGTCCGAGGTAGGGATAGGTGCTGTCCTATCTCAACGCTCGGGCACGCCACCCAAGCTCCGCCCTTGTACCTTCTTCTCTAAGAAGCTCAGCCCGGCAGAGCAGAACTCCTGTGGTGGAACGCCGCCCACGTCCACCTCCTGCGTGCTGTGCTTCGCCAAAAGTCGGATCCCTCCGAGGCTGCCTTCTCTCCTTGTTTGGGCAGGCTTCGGCATTCATCGTCACTGGCCTTCTAGCCACTGTCGCTCCTCTGTTCATCATTCCATTTGTTTTGTCTTGTTTTCACACACACCTGGTACATACAGTGAGGGAAAAAAGTATTTGATCCCTTGCTGATTTTGTACGTTTGCCCACTGACAAAAACATGATCAGTCTATAATTTTAATGGTAGGTTTATTTGAACAGTGAGAGACAGAATAACAACAAAAAGTTCCAGAAAAACGCATGTCAAAAATGTTATGAATTGATTTGCATTTTAATGAGGGAAATAAGTATTTGACCCCTGTGCAAAACATTACTTAGTACTTGGTGGTAAAACCCTTGTTGGCAATCACAGAGGTCAGACGCTTCTTGTAGTTGGCCACCAGGTTTGCACACATCTCAGGAGGGATTTTGTCCCACTCCTCTTTGCAGATCTTCTCCAAGTGATTAAGGTTTCGAGCCTGACGTTTGGCAACTCAAACCTTCAGCTCCCTCTACAGATTTTCTATGGGATTAAGATCTGGAGACTGGCTAGGCCACTCCAGGACCTTAATGTGCTTCTTCTTGAGCCACTCCTTTGTTGCCTTGGCCGTGTGTTTTGGGTCATTGTCATGCTGGAATACCCATCCACGACCCATTTTCAATGCCCTGGCTGAGGGAAGGAGGTTCTCACCCAAGATTTGACGGTACATGGCCCCATCCATCGTCCCTTTGATGCAGTGAAATTGTCCTGCCCCTTAGCAGAAAAACACCCCCAAAGCATAATGTTTCCACCTCCATGTTTGACGGTGGGGATGGTGTTCTTGGGGTCATAGGCAGCATTCCTCCTCCTCCAAACACGGCGAGTTGAGTTGATGCCAAAGAGCTCGATTTTGGTCTCATCTGACCACAACACTTTCACCCAGTTCTCCTCTGAATCATTCAGATGTTCATTGGCAAACTTCAGACGGGCCTGTTTATGTGCTTTCTTGAGCAGGGGGACCTTGAGGGTGCTGCAGGATTTCAGTCCTTCACGGCGTAGTGTGTTACCAATTGTTTTCTTGGTGACTATGGTCCCAGCTGCCTTGAGATCATTGACAAGATCCTCCAGTGTAGTTCTGGGCTGATTCCTCACCATTCTCATGATCATTGCAATTCCACGAGGTGAGATCTTGCATGGAGCCCCAGGCCGAGGGAGATTGACAGGTCTTTTGTGTTTCTTCCATTTGCGAATAATCGCACCAACTGTTGTCACCTTCTCACCAAGCTGCTTGGCGATGGTCTTGTAGCCCATTCCAGCCTTTTGTAGGTTTACAATCTTGTCCCTGACATCCTTGGAGAGCTCTTTGGTCTTGGCCATGGTGGAGAGTTTGGAATCTGATTGATTGATTGCTTCTGTGGACAGGTGTCTTTTATACAGGTAACAAACTGAGATTAGGAGCACTCCCTTTAAGAGTGTGCTCCTAATCTCAGCTCGTTACCTGTATAAAAGACACCTGGGAGCCAGAAATCTTTCTGATTGAGAGGGGGTCAAATACTTATTTCCCTCATTAAAATTCAAATCAATTTATAACTTTTTTGACATGCGTTTCTCTGGATTTTGTTGTTGTTATTCTGTCTCTCACTGTTCAAATAAACCTACCATTAAAATTATAGACTGATCATTTCTTTGTCAGTGGGCAAACGTACAAAATTAGCAGGGGATCAAATATTTTTTTCCCTCACTGTATCCCCTCATCAGTCTCTGTATAAGTATTCCCTCTGCTCCCCATGTCCTTGTGTGTTATTGTTACTTTGTGGAGGTATCGCTCGGTTGAGCATTTTTGTTATTTTATCGCCGGGAATATTTACCTGTGTATGTTTGGTTCCCAGTACGCATTGAAGTTGCACTTGGATCGTGTTTCACGCATTGTTGCGGACTACCTTATTGGGCTGAATAAAGCATATTCCTTCTTCACACTCCTGCGCCTGACTACGTCCATCCCATCGCTACAGTTACAAAACGAAGGGTTTGCAAAACGAGGGGGTTAAAAAATGGAAGGTAACAAAACTTCACAATGGAGTCAACCTTATTAGACAAAACATAACTCTCTCTTTTAGCACAAATTCATATGTCTGTTTGACTGGCGAAAATGTATCTGGAATCTACAAATATCAATGTGTGATGACGTCTTTCTCTGAGCCATTACCCATTAAAAGGAATGAACAGAACAAATAAACTATTATTTGTCTTTAAGCAAGACTTTGAAGTTGCCCCTCTCTCTCTTCGTTCTCTTCTCTCTCCTCCTCTGGTCCAGTCTAGTGTGACTAATTGTCAGATGAAAGAAGAACAGCTGTGGTAAACCTGGGAGTGGTAACACACCTAGTGTGTGTGTGTGTGTCTGTGTGTGTGTGCGTCTGTGTGTGTGTGTGTCTGTGTGTCTATAAGCAGTAATGGAGTTACCTGTGAATAAACAGCAGGTTATGTATAATTTACCCACAATGCTGTCCTGCTATCCTCCACGAAACCAGAGCCTTTGACAGCAGAGCAGCCTAACTCTACCTTCAACCTTGCAATTCATCTGAAGCTCTTTAGCTCTATAGCCTGGAGACCAGACCAGCACCTGAGCAGGCAGGCAGGGGAGTTATAGGATGTCTATGGGCCGGGGGCTAGGGAGCTGTGAGGATGAAACGCTGCAGTCCATGTGTTGTTGTGAACAGGTCAGTACTATATGGCGAGGGCAAGCTCTGGTAGTGCCAGGGATAGAAATCAGCTGTTTTGTTTGTGTATGAGTGTGTGTGGGCGGCAGGTAGCCTAGCAGTTAAGAGTGTTGGGCCAGTAACCGAAAGGTTGCTGGTTTGAATCCCCGAGCCGACTAGGGGAAAAATCTGTCGATGAGCCCTTGAACAAGGTATTAATTGCTACTGTAAGTCGTTCTGGATAAGAGCGTCTGCTAAATGACGTAAATGTTAAAAGAATTGTGGGGGTGCTAAATATGTGGTTACTTCAAGTTGTGTATTTACGGTCTTGTATGTATACTGAACAAAAATATAAATGCAATAATTTCAAAGATTTGACTGAGTTACAGTTCATATAGAGAAATCAGTCAATTGAAATAAATAAATTAGGCCCTAATCTATGGATTTCAGATTTTCAGAATCATTTCAGAATACAGATATGCATCTGTTAGTCACAGATACCTTTAAAAAAGAGGTAGGGATGTTGATCAGAAAACCAGTCAGTATCTGGTGTGACCAACATTTGCCTCTTGCAGCGCGACACATCTCCTTCACATAGAGTTGATCAAGCTGTTGATTGTGGCCTGTGGAATGTTGTCCCACTCCTCTTCAATGGCTTTGCAAAGTTGCTGGATATTGTCGGGAACTGGAACATGCTGTTGTACACTTCGATCCAGAGCATCCCAAACATGCTCAATAGGTGACATGTTTGGTGAGTATGCAGGCCATTGAAGAACTGGGACATTTTCAGCTTCCAGGAATTGTGTACACATCCTTGCTACATGGGGCTGTGCATTATCATGCTGAAACATGAGGTGATGGCAGCAGATGAATAGCCTGACAATGGGCCTCAGGATCTCGTCACGGTATCTCTGTGCATTTAAATTGCCAACGGTTCAAATGCAATTGTGTTCATTGTCCGTAGCTTATTCCTGCTCATACCATAACGCCACTGCCACCATGGGGCACTCGGTTCACAATGTTGACATCAGCAAACCGCTCGCCCACACAACCCACACAACATGGTCTGCGGTTGTGAGGCCGGTTGGACATACTGCCAAATTCACTAAAACGACGGAGGCGGCTTATGGTAGAGAAATTAACTTTCAATTCTCTGGCAACAGCTCTGGTGGACATTCCTGCAGTCAGCATACCAATTGCACACTACCTCAAAACTTGAGACATCTCTGGCATGTTATGTGACAAAACTCCCCAGCACAAGTTGCACCTGTGTAATGATCATACTGTTTAATCATCTTCTTGATATGCCACATCTCTCAGGTGGATGGATTATCTTGGCAAAGGAGAAATGCTCGCTAACAGGGATGTAAAGAAATTTGATAAATAAGCTTTATGTGTGTATGGAACATTTCTGGGATCTTTTATTTCAGGTAATGGAACATGGGACCAATACTTTACGTGTTGCGTTTATATTTTTGTTCAGTATATTTGGGACCGCTCACAAAAAAAATCTCTGTTGATCAACAGCTTATCGACCAGAAACAGTACATGGGCAGAAATAATCGTCTTTAGGGCTGGTGGAAAATAGCCTCCACATCAAAGAGTCTAGTCAGGTGTTTATTATTACTGATTCTTATTCATGTGGCTTGTTCCTTCAGACTGCAGCTGTTTTTCTCCGCATGCTTCCTGACTGCTCGGTCCAGCCACACACACACACACACACGCACACACGCACACACACACACACACACACACCACACACACACACACACACACACACACACACACACACACACACACACACACACACACACACACACACTTCCTGACCGACCGGTCCTGTCTGGGCTGGTCAGGAAGCTAGCAAGCCTGTCTGTGGCTAGCAAAACACAGGCAGGTCTGAGACCCTTGCTATCAATAACAAGGAAGTGGAAGGGGAAACGTGTGTTGTGTGTGTGTGTGTGAGGGTGCGAGTGAGTGCGTGTGTGGGGGTACAAGTGAGGGGGAGAATGCTAGCAGCTGTAATAAAGAGAGGTGCACGGCACATTGGTGGAGATACAGGAGCTTTTCATGTGTTTCCTTACAGCTATTTACCCCAACTGACACCAAATGGACACAGGAAACACCTACACTATGTGTCTGTGTGTGTGTGTCCTTGTTTCCGTGTCCGTGTGTGTGTGTGTGTGTGTGTGTGTGTGTGTGTGTGTGTGTGTGTGTGTGTGTCCGTGTGTGTGTCCACTCACATGCTTTATGAAAAGTTGGGCCAGTCTCTCTGGTTCTTCTATACACTTCTCCAGCTCGCCCAGGAAGTAGCTAGAGAGAGAGAGACAGGTTACACACACACCACGCGCACACACACGCACACGCACTATGCGCACATACCATGCGCACTGTACAGTATCTCCGATACTCACTCTTTATGCCAGTCGAACATTTGATGAATGTTTCCAAACACGATCTTGTCTTTTCCCTTCATGTCGTCTGGTATACCTTTAATAGTCATAGTGGCCATGTAGCCCTGTAGAGGAAACACACACCCAACCTCAGATCTCATATACTGGACATACTGGGATTCAAACCCAGGTCTCCTGCACACAACAAGACTATGTTAACCCGTTGAGCTAAAACCTATGTATTATCGTCATATATACTGTACATACCTACCTGTAAAACAACTATTTCTGACTTAGAAAAGCTTTACAAACATAGGCATGTCGCTATTATGTTGCTATAGCAACACTGGGCCAAAATTAACTTTCTGAAGTCTTACATTTGTTCACCTACAATATATCATCCTCTGTCAGATTAATAGTTTTGAAACATGATACTAATATATATATTAATAAAATCACCCCAATAAAAAAAAAATTTCTGTTTTTGGAGGCAGACCGAGATGTTTTGAAAGAAAGTGAAGGTGTTGTGATGGCAAGGATTTTCAGATCAAGTAATTGAATAAGTGGGTGCCGGTTCTTCTTATGCCTTGGTTGATACAAAAGTTGATAGATTTCAAACTCCAGCAGTAGAACGGTGGTTTCTTCTGCTGCTGTTGATATTGCTGTCATTGGATATGGTTATAATACTGTACTCTCACCTCTACTATGAGCCCCAGGTCCTCCACGTACAGTTTCTCTGTCTCTATGAGTTCCTTCAGTACATACCTGGACAGAGAGATGATACTGACTGTTGGTCACCCCCATCAATACAAAGTCTTTCCAAACAGTCTTGTCACCTTGAAGGGGCAATCTGCAGTTGTTACATCAATTTATTGACTTTTAAATTAATTACAGTGGGGAGAACAAGTATTTGATACACTGCCGATTTTGCAGGTTTTCCTACTTACAAAGCATGTAGAGGTCTGTAATTTTTATCATAGGTACACTTCAACTGTGAGAGACAGAATCTAAAACAAAAATCCAGAAAATCACATTGTATGATTTTTTAAGTAATTCATTTGCATTTTATTGCATGACATAAGTATTTGATCACCTACCAACCTGTAAGAATTACGGCTCTCACAGACCTGTTAGTTTTTCTTTAAGAAGCCCTCCTGTTCTCCACTCATTACCTGTATTAACTGCACCTGTTTGAACTCGTTACCTGTATAAGAGACACCTGTCCACACACTCAATCAAACAGACTCCAACCTCTCCACAATGGCCAAGACCAGAGAGCTGTGTAAGGACATCAGGGATAAAATTGTAGACCTGCACAAGGCTGGGATGGGCTACAGGACAATAGGCAAGCAGCTTGGTGAGAAGGCAACAACTGTTGGCGCAATTATTAGAAAATGGAAGAAGTTCAAGATGACGGTCAATCACCCTCGGTCTGGGGCTCCATGCAAGATCTCACCTCTTGGGGCATCAATGATCATGAGGAAGGTGAGGGATCAGCCCAGAACTACACGGCAGGACCTGGTCAATGACCTGAAGAGAGCTGGGACCACAGTCTCAAAGAAAACCATTAGTAGCACACTACGCCGTCATGGATTAAAATCCTGCAGCGCACGCAAGGTCCCCCTGCTCAAGCCAGCACATGTCCAGGCCCGTCTGAAGTTTGCCAATGACCATCTGGATGATCCAGAGGAGGAATGGGAGAAGGTCATGTGGTCTGATGAGACAAAAATAGAGCTTTTTGGTCTAAACTCCACTCGCCGTGTTTGGAGGAAGAAGAAGGATGAGTACATCCCCAAGAACACCATCCCAACCGTGAAGCATGGAGGTGGAAACATCATTCCTTGGGGATGATTTTCTGCAAAGTTGACAGGACGACTGCACCGTATTGAGGGGAGGATGGATGGGGCCATGTATCGCGAGATCTTGGCCAACAACCTCCTTCCCTCAGTAAGAGCATTGAAGATGGGTCGTGGCTGGGTCTTCCAGCATGACAACGACCCGAAACACACAGCCAGGGCAACTAAGGAGTGGCTCCGTAAGAAGCATCTCAAGGTCCTGGAGTGGCCTAGCCAGTCTCCAGACCTGAACCCAATAGAAAATCTTTGGAGGGAGCTGAAAGTCCGTATTGCCCAGCGACAGCACCCCGAAACCTGAAAGATCTGGAGAAGGTCTGTATGGAGGAGTAGGCCAAAATCCCTGCTGCAGTGTGTGCAAACCTGGTCAAGACCTGCAGGAAACGTATGATCTCTGTAATTGCAAACAAAGGTTTCTGTACCAAATATTAAGTTCTGCTTTTCTGATGTATCAAATACTTATGTCATGCAATAAAATGCAAATTAATTACTTAAAAATCATACAATGTGATTTTCTGGATTTTTGTTTTAGATTCCATCTCTCACAGTTGAAGTGTACCTATGATAAAAATTACAGACCTCTACATGCTTTGTAAGTAGGAAAACCTGCAAAATCGGCAATGTATCAAATACTTGTTCTCCATACTGTATATATATATATATGTCAACAGTCTAAGCCAACCCATCTGTTTTGCCCTGTAGTTGCGCACGTGTCAGTTGTTTTGCTAAACAATCAACCCGTCTATAATATAACTTGTAAATATTTAATGAGGTTAGTTCAACTGTCTTTCCCCATCAAACCCCAAAATATAAGCTTGTTTCACTCCAACACTATAATTGTAAACAAACACTGTATAGCCTCAAAACATGGTTAAAACTATCATTTTGATATAATTGATGCTCAGTCCTTGCATCCATAGCTCATTTCACCAGTCCCATTCCTCAGCTATTCACCAAAACAGTGGTGTGGTGAAGGCATTTGTAATTGTTTGAACTGCAGATTGCCCCTTTAAGATACGTCTACACAGTGACTCTCATTGTATGTAGCCATACATGATGCTTATGGAAATGCTGTGTTGTACATCAAACTTTGGTCAGTTTTAGAGTAAGGTGTAGTAAGGGCAGTGTTGTGTAATTAAAGGTGAACCATTTACATGCTCTTCTCTAAGGCACTCTTCCTTTCCTCCTCACTGTCAGCCGCCGCTGATGATTGGCTGGAGGTGTCATCCATCAACACTGAGACATTGTCATCTGGATAGACATTGGTGGACTGAGTATCCTGGTCAAACAGACGGGACAGGGAATAGGGTTATGATATAATCTTTGGTCTGTTGGCATTCTCAAGATAGTGAGAGAGAGAGAGAGTGAGAGAGAGAGAGAGAGAGAGAGAGAGAGAGAGAGAGAGAGAGAGAGAGAGAGAGAGATCAAATAAGGAAGAGGCAAAGTGAGAGAGAATGGGAGAGGCAAATTGAGAGAGAGAATGGGAGAGCAAAGTGAGAGATAGAATGGAAGAGGCAAAGTGAGAGAGAGAATGGAAGAGGCAAAGTGAGAGAGAGAATGGGAGAGGCAAAGTGAGAGAGAGAATGGGAGAGGCAAAGTGAGAGAGAGAATGGGAGAGGCAAAGTGAGAGAGAGAATAGGAGGATAATGATGCAGGTTGCCAAGGTGACTACTGACCAGGGAGGGAGGGAGAGCAGCCAGACACTAGGGACCAGGGCAGAATGATAGTGGTAGGCCACACAAGCTCACAGAATGGGACCATCGAGTGCTGAAGCGCGTATCGCGTAAAAATCGTCTGTCCTCATTTGCAACACTTACTACTGAGTTCCAAACTCCATCTGGAAGCAACGTCAGCACAAGAACTGTATAGTCGTGGTCAAAAGTTTTGAGAATGACACAAGTATTGGTCGTCACAAAGTTCGCTGCTTCAGTGTTATGAGATATCTTTGTCAGATGTTACTATGGTATACTGAAGTATAATGACAAGCATTCCATAAGTGTCAAAGGCTTTTATTGACAATTACATTAAGTTTATGCAAAGAGTCAATATTTGCAGTGTTGACCCTTCTTTTTCAAGACCTCTGCAATCCGCCCTGGCATGCTGTCAATTAACTTCTAGGCCACATCCTGACTGATGGCAGCCCATTCTTGCATAATCAATGCTTGGAGTTTGTGGGTTTTTGTTTGTCCACCTGCCTCTTGAGGATCGACCACAAGTTCTCAATGGGATTAAGGTCTGGGGAGTTTCCTGGCCATGGATCCAAAATGTTGATGTTTTGTTCCCCGAGCCACTTAGTTATCACTTTTGCCTTATGGCAAGGTGCTCCATCATGCTGGAAAAGGCATTGGTCAACTTTAGGAGACGGTCCTGACGCTTGCTGGACTTTCTTGGGTGCCCTGACGCCTTCTTCACAACAATTGAACCTCTCTCCTTGATGTTCTTGATGATCCGATAAATGGTTGATTTAGGTGCAATCTTACTAGCAGCAATATCCTTGCCTGTGAAGCCCTTTTTGTGCAAAGCAATGATGACGGCATGTGTTTCCTTGCAGGTAACCATGGTTAACAGAGGAAGAACAATGATTTCAAGCACCTCCCTCCTTTTAAAGCCTCCAGTCTGTTATTCTAACTCAATCAGCATGACAGAGTGATCTCCAGCCTTGTCCTTGTCAGCACTCTCACCTGTGTTAACGAGAGAATCGCTGACATGATGGCAGCTGGTCCTTTTGTGGCAGGGCTGAAATGCAGTGGAAAAGTTAATTTTCATGGCAAAGAGGAACTTTGCAATTAATTGCAATTAATCTGATCACTCTTCATGATATTCTGGAGTATATGCAAATTGCCATCATCAAAACTGAGGCAGCAGACTTTTGACCACGACTGTACGTCTGGAGCTTCATGAAATGGGTTTGCATGGCCGAGCAGCCGCACACAAGCCTAAGATCACCATGCGCAATGCCAAGCGTCGGCTGGAGTGGTGTAAAGCTCGCCGCCATTGGACTCTGGAGCAGTGGAAATGCGTTCTCTGGAGTGATGAATCACGCTTCAAGGTTTGGCGGATGCCAGGAAAATGCTACCTGCCCCAATGCATAGTGCCAACTGTAAGGTTTGGTGGAGGAGGAATAATGGTCTGGGATTGTTTTTCATGGTTCGGGCTAAGCCTCTTAGTTCCAGTGAAGGGAAATATTAACGCTACAGCACACAATGTCATTCTAGACGATTCTGTGCTTCCAACTTTGTGGCAACAGTTTGGTGAAGGCCCTTTCCTGTTTCAGTATGACAATGCACCTGTGCACAAAGTGAAGTCCTTTCACAACATTATAAGGCTGCGTTGAGACAATGACTTAGCAATGACCCAAGCCCAGCTCATCAAATCCCTATCATTGTGAGGCAGAGTTGTCAAAATGCTTCAGCAAATGTACATTACACCAGGGGCGTCGGTAGACACAATATAAGTAACCTAATTTATGTCCCTCTGACTGTCCTGAATGCCACTGATGATCCTACAGCTATTGTGTGCAGTAATCATGTGCCTAAGAACCAGATTTATACTGTTAGCACTGAGCCGGTGTACCCGAGGAGGCAGTCCACTGTGTGCAGCTCAACATGCACTAACATAAAGAACATGAGCACATCTACTGCTGCTAAGCTTCCCAGTAAAGCACTAAAAACAAGTAAGCATCCCAGAAGAAAAGTGCTCTGAAACTCACTTAGATAATACCTTTGATGATACAGTGGTAGCAATACAAGGTTATAACATTTACAGAAAATATAGAAATGCCAATGGTGGAGGTGTTGCTGTTTATATACAGAACCACATTCCTGTGAAGATTAGAGAGGAGCTCATGTTAAATACTGTTCAAGTAATATGGCTACAGGTTCATCTGCCTCACCTAAAACCAATTCTGGTGGGAAGTTGCTGTAGACCACCAAGTGCTAACAGTCAGTACTGGATAACATGTGTGAAATGCTTGATAATGTATGTGATATCAATAGAGAGGTATACTTTCTGGGTGATTTAAATATTGACTGGCTGTCATCAGGCTGCCCACTCAAGAGAAAGCTTCAAACTGTAACTAGTGCCTGCAACCTGGTTCAGGTTAACAGTCAACCTACAAGGGTGGTTACAAACAGTCCAGGAATTAAATCATCAACATGTATTGATCATATCTTTACTAATGCTGCAGAGATTTGTTTGAAAGCAGTATCCAAATCCATTGGATGTAGTGATCACAATATAGTAGCCATATCTAGGAAAACCAAAGTTCCAAAGTCTGGGCCTAATATTGTGTATAAGAGGTCATACAATAAGTTTTGCAGTGATTCCTATGTTGTTGATGTAAAGATATATGTTGGTCCGTGGTGTGTGATGAGGAGCAAACAGACACTACACTTGACACATTTATGAAATTGCTTATTCCAGTTACTAATAAGCATGCACCCATTAAGACAATTACTGTAAAAACTGTTAAATCCCCATGGATTGATGAGGAATTTAAAAATGGTATGGTTAAGAGGGATGAGGGATGAGGCAAAAGAATGGCAAATAAGTCTGGCTGCACAACCAATTGTCAAACGTATTGCAAATTGAGAAATCATGTGACTAAACGGAATAATAATAAGAAGAAACAACACTATGAAACAAAGATAAATGACATAAAGAATGATAGTAAAAAGCTTTGGAGCACCTGAAATTAAATGTTGGGAAAAAAGGCAAACTCATTCATTGAATCAGATGGCTCATTCATCACAAAACCAACTGACATTGCCAACTACTTTAATAATTTTTTCATTGGCAAGATTAGCAAACTTAGGCATGCCATGCCAGCAACAATTGTTGACACTACACATCTAAGTATATTTGACCAAATTATGAAAGACAAGCATTATAATTTTGAATTCCGTAAAGTGAGTGTGGAAGAGGTGAACAAATTATTGTTGTCTATTAACAATGACAAGCCACCGGGGTCTGACAACTTGGATGGGAAATTGCTGAGGATAATAGTGGACGATATTGCCACTCCTATTTGCCATATTTTCAATTTAAGCTTACTAGAATGTGTGTGCCCCCAGGCTTGGAGGGAAGCAAAAGTCATTCCACTACCAAAGAATAGTAAAGTCCCCTTTACTGGCTCAAACAGCCAACCAATTAACCTGTTGCCAATTAGTGTTTGACCAGATACAATGCTATTTTACTGTAAACAAATTGACAACAAACTTTCAGCATGCTTATAGAAAAAGGACATTCAACAAGCACAGCACTTACACAAATGACTGATGATTGGCTGAGAGAAATTGATGATAAAAAGATTGTGGGGGCTGTTTTGTTAGACTTCAGTGTGGCTTTTGACATTATCGATCATAGTCTGCTGCTGGAAAAACATATGTGTTATGGCTTTACACCCCCTGCCATAATGTGGATAAAGAGTTACTTGTCTAACAGAACACAGAGGCTGTTCTTTAATGGAAGCCTCTCAAACATAATACAGGTAGAATAAGGAATTCCCCAGGGCAGCTGTCTAGGCCCCTTGCTTTTTGTCCAACTTTACTAATGACATGCCACTGGCTTTGAGTAAAGCCAGTGTGTCTATGTATGCGGATGACTCAACACTATACACGTCAGCTACTACAGCAACTGAAATAACTGCAACACTTAACAAAGAGTTGCAGTTAGTTTCGGAATGGGTGGCAAGGAATAAGTTAGTCCTGAATATTTCCAAAACTAAAAGCATTGTATTTGGGTCAAATCATTCACTAAACCCTAAACCTCAACTACATCTCATAATGAATAATGTGGAAATTGAGCAAGTTGAGGTGACTAAATTGCTTGGAGTAACCCTGGATTGTAGACTGTCATGGTGAAAGCATATTGATACAACAGTAGCTAAGATGGGGAGAAGTATGTCCATAATTAAGCGCTGCTCTGCCTTCTTAACAACACTATCAACAAGGCAGGTCCTACAGGCCCAAGTTTTGTCGCACCTAGACTACTGTTCAGTAGTGTGGTCAAGTGCCACAAAGAGGGACTTGGGAAAATTGCAGTTGGCTCAGAACAGGGCAGCATGGCTGGCCCTTAAAAGTACACGGAGAGCTAACATTGATGACATGCATGTCAGTCTCTCCTGGCTCAGAGTGGAAGAGAGATTGACTTCATCACTGCTTGTTTTTGTGAGAGGCGTCGACGAGCTGAATGTACCAAGCTGTCTGTTTGGAATACTGGCCCACAGCTCGGACACCCATGCATACCCCACAAGACATGTCACCAGAGGTCTCTTCACAG